GAGGGGGGCCTGAGGGCATTCTTGGCCTCTTTTCTGGGCTGATTTACACGAGCAATGTTGACTAAGCACTTTATTTTCAGCACCTGTGTCTGTGTCTTGGGAGGCTGAGGCAGGAGGATCAAAACTTCGAGACCAGCCTGGACAACTTAGCAAGATCCTGTCTCTAAATAAAAAGGGCTGATGTATAACTCAGGGTAGGTCCTCCCAAGCTCCATTCTTAATAGTGATCGCCTAACACAAGCGAGGGCCCTGGGTTTGATCCTCAGCACCACGTAAAAATAAATAAACAAAATAAAGATATTGTGTCCAACTACAACTAAAAAATAAATATTAAAAAAAGGTGTGTGTGTGGGGGAAGAATAGTGGTATTTTGGATTAGATAGAAGGAAGTGAAGGGAGGGGAGGGGACATGGGGGTAGAAATGATAGTAGAATGAATCATTATTACTCTATGTGCATATAAGATTATATGATTTGTGTAACTCTACATCAAGTACATCCAGAAAAATGAGAAGTTATACTCCATTTATATATAATGTGTCAAAATGTATTCTACTGTCATACTGTCATGTATAACTAATTAGAACAAATAAAAATATTTAAAGATATAATGCAAAAAAATAATTGGTATAAATTGAATTCTATTCTGAGATAGTAAATGTTCTTGATGTCTGTTGACAGTGAAATTTTCATTATGTGTGGTTACTACTAATTGGTTTTGTTCTTCATGACTTCAGACCCTCACTCTCACCTACATTTTCCCATAATTTCCTTAGTTGTAAATAATCAAGGTCAAAATTTCCATATTTTCTCTTTATCACTTTTTAAAAATAAATCTTTTGTCTCAAGTTCTGGTGAAAATTGGTTGGTATATTGAAAAGTCATGGCATTTCCTTGTCTGTAACACAAACTGCCCCCAAGTTTTCCTCGAAAGCTAGAATCTCAAACTCATTCACGCAGAGCAGAAGCTCCCAAAAGATATTCTGCAAGGGAAGGAAATGAAATATTGATAATTAATTAGAAATTCTGAAGGAAAGACACTCTCACCAAGGAAGACCAGGTTTCTATAGTTCTCTAACATCACATCTCTAAACAAATTCCACGGAGCAGGCTCCAGCCTTCCCAGTCCTCTTAAGAGAAATCAGTGACCATATTCCTCAGTGATAATAGTTTCAAATGATTTTGAGGACATATCCTCATTTTCTGTAGGCATAGGGAAGAGAGATTTTCCTTATTTATTTTTCCTTTTAGAATTTCCAACGATAGGGCTGGGGTTGAGGCTCAATGGTAGAGCGCCTGCCTAGCACCTGTGAGGCACTGGGTTCCTTCCATTTTCTGGTGCTCAGGAGGCAGGCCTGCTCTCCAGGGATCTTTAGTTCTAGCACATCAAAGCAAGCTGGGATTCCTAAGCCTGGGAGAGAAGGCTAGAGCCAGATGTTGGGAATGGCAGACTGCAAAGAAAAGGGCCCTGGCCAGATGTGAGTTCACCTATCCTATTTATTAATAGTGAGGAAGGACCCAGCCGGATTTGAGTTCGCCTATTGATTAATAAAAGGAAGTGAGATCCATAAACATTAGGAAACAGCCAGAAGTTTCTTCCACAGACTGTCTTTAGAGGAGCATCAGTACAGAAAGCCTTTAAGTGATTGAATATGAGACCTAAGGGGAAATAAAATTTGAAAGCTAATGAATGTGAGTTATTCTGGAGACAGTGAAGGGCTAGAAGAAAGGATCAAGGGGGGCCCTGAGGGAATCAGAGTGTAGTGATTGACAGGAGGCTTTAGCAGGGGTAGGGAAGAATGCCCAGCACCAGTTCCAAGGAAGGAAGGAATGGTCAACAGTGCCTCGGGGAAGAGATATTGCTATGATCTGAATGAGTCGGACCTTATGATGGAATTTGTATGTTGAAACTTAATTGCAAATGTGATCATATAGAGGGGTGGGTCCTTTAGGAGGTGACGGAATCAGGAGGGTGCTGGGATTAGAGCCTTCATCAAAGGGCTTGAAGAAGGGGTTTTGTCACCTTTCATTCCTTTTGCCATGAAAGGGTGCTGTGTTATGGTTTGGATGTGTGGTGTCCCACCAAAGCTCCTGTGCTCATGCAGGAATGCTGAGTTGGAATGATAATTATGAAAATGTCACCTAATCTGTTCATCCTAGTTGGAACGGACTTGGTGGTAACTGTAGGCTGGCAGGATGTGGCTAGAGGAAGTGGGTCATTGGGAGTGTACCCTGGAAGGGCTCATCTTCCCTGCTTGTTCCCTTCCTTGTTCTCTCTGCTTCCCAGTTCTGGAGAGCTGAGCAGCTTTCCTCCCACACGCCCTTCTGCCATCGTGTTCTGACACATCTTGGTCCCAGAGCAATGGAGTTCACCGACCATGGACTAAACTTCCTACCCAGGAACTTTCTCTCCTCTAAGTTGCTTTTGTCAGGTATTTTGATCACAGTGATGAAAAACTAACACAGGCAATGAGAATCCCTCATCAGATACTGAGATGGTGCCTTGATCTTGTACTGCCCAGGCTCCAGAATTACGAGACATCAGTTGCTGTTGTTTTTAAGTTACAGTCTGTGGTATTTTGTTATAGCAATACAGATAAACAGAGGCAGATATCAATCAAGATAAAGATATAGTTTTTAAAAACACAAGTTGTGGTTGTGTAGTTTCAAATCAAAGGTTGCCTCAAGTCTTTCTGGAAGCAGTTCTGTGTGACCAAATGACCTTTTGAAATTTGGAATGTGGGTAAATCTCAGTGTAAGCACATTATGGTTTAATTTAGGTCTAGGGCTGGTGAAAGAGCTCATACCTGTCCTCTGTAAGGGACAAGTTCATACCTGAACAGTGAGGTCATCATCTCAGTCACTGTGATCAAGTGACTGGGGAACATGGGTAGCCCTGGGACAGGAAATGGAACCCAAGGGAGTAGGCTGGGTTGGGGGGTAAGGGTTTAACCTTTGCCTTTTGAATGGTTTTAGAGAAGGAATCAAGATGAATAGAAATGGACTCATTAAGATGCACTAAAATGTGTTCAAGGATGTTAATTGTAGCATTGCTTGTGATACAGATTGGAAGCTACTCAAGAGTCACCAACTGCAGAGTGGACAAATAAATTGTGCTGTAGTCAATCAACAGACTTCTAAGTGACAACTCTTTAGCTTTAGCTCCCAGACTTGGCTGCTACTCTGGGCATGACTAGTGAGTGTCATGGGCAAGTCTTTTGAGGAAAAGCAATAGGGAGAAAAAAAATGGATTTACAGGGGAGAGGAATGGGGAAAAAAGGAAGAAAGTGATAAAATGAAAGAAGCAGGTGCCTTGCCCCATTGCCTCAAGGACCTAGTTGTCTGCTTTCCTATTTGGAGCCTCCTCCTAGGTGCTCAGTTCTCCTCCTTTCAAGCCTGCAGAGCTTCCTTCCCATTCTGGAGGGAGGGAGGGAGGGTGTGGTGAAACTCTGAAAACAGACAGACCTGCCTTATATCACTAAGAGACTGGCAAACTTCTTTAGTTTGTCTGTCTGTCCCTTGGTTTTCTCACCTGCAAACCAGGGGAGCTAGGACTGGTGCATGACAAGTACTGGCACCTAGAAGATCCTGCAGAACTGGGATTAAGATGCCTATCTTCCCTCAGGCCAGAAACCTTTGACGCTGACCAACAGAACTTTCTAGACTGATGGCTATGGAATGGCACTTGAAATGTGTCTAATGCAACTGAGACTGAAATCTTTATTTTATTCAATTTTTATTTTTATGTATTTATTTAAAAATTACAGTACTGGGAATTGAACACAGGGCCTCAGCATCCAAGGCATTTCAGCATGCTGGGCAAGCATTCTGCCACGGAACTAATCCCCAGATCCTTGCTTTACTTTTATGTTTTTTTTTAAATTTAAATTTGTTATATATAACAACCTTGTTTTACTTTTAAATAGCTATCTATGGCAAATGTCTACCACATTGACTGGCACAATTGCTAGGGTGTTCGCTGGGTTGGGAGTGTGGCACGGTCCCCTGCCAGGCCATGGAGCAGGATGGCTCATTCTTGTGCACACTGAAAGGCGCCGGGTTCGCTCTGCCTTTACACTGTGATTTCTTCCCTTAATAAACCAACCCTCTCTGAGTAAAGCCGGGTCTGGCGGGACTACAGCAATTAAGAGCTCAACCTACTTGTCCCCTTGCCTCCCAGCCTTTCCAACACCGGATAGAGCCTCCCAGGGTCATGGGCTCCCTGATACTTTTTTTGCAGCGAGGCGGAAAGAGTGCATTTCCACGTTCGTTTCACCGACCAGGAAACTGAGGCTCGGGGAGGTTGTGGCAGATGGTGGGAAGTAGCGGCGCTCCAGTCTTAGCAGAAACTCGTAGGAACTCTAGCTGCTCCAAAGACTGCCCGTGGGTCGGGTTGTCAGGGTGTGTGGGGAAAGCGGAGGGTAAATATTTGGGGCTGTAACCCGGGATCCGGCCACAATTCGTCACTGCGGTCCACAGGCGGGCGCGTGGCGAGGGCGGTGCTTCGGCGACCGGGGCGTCCCCGAGGTCGGCAGGGACCGACCCCGGCGGCTCCGGCTTCCGCGGCCTCG